AGCAGGAGAGACAGAACGGGCTGATGCACACTGAATGCTCACACAGGCGGGGCCAGGAGCCGTGGGAAGAAAGCAAGCCCCAGGAGTGGTTTGGGTGTGGTCAAATGGTGGGGGGAAGGTTTGAACACAGGACTCTCTGAATCCGAGGCCCAGCCACCACCCTCTTCTCTGTAGAAACAGTCCTAGAGAGTCCACCCCTTGCCACTTTGCAGAGTTGGGCCTCAGCTCCTTCTTTCAAGCCAGGCAGGGCAGCACAGGTGTCACCACTGTCTGGGGGCTTCTCTTCCTCAGACAGGGTCCTACAGGGTCCTTCAACTCCACAGTTCCTTGGCTCCTCTCCCCTCACCCCATTTGGAGCTGCTTTGTTCCTGCTCTGTTGGGTGGGCTTCCAATCCCACAAGCCTATTCTCGAAGTCAGTCCATGGGTTAAGGAGGAGCCCGTTTGCATGGACACAGGGCACAGAGCGTCTCCCCATGACAAGATGGACCGCCTCCTCCAGCGCAGGTCCACTTCCTCCCTCCAAGTGCTGGTGTATTTCGCAGGCTGGGCGTTTTGCCTAAGGGGCAAGTAGGCCTTAAGCTCCCCTACATCCTGCTAACTAGAGTCAACCTCTTCATTGCCTAATGGAGACGTTTCTCAAGAAAAACTGAAGATAGCTTAAAGCTCTGGTTGCGTCTCCTCAGCTTTTAACTGTGTGGAACGGAACCTATTAGAAATGGCTAAAATCCACGAGATTTTCTATCTCCGGTGTTCGTAAGGTGCACACGCACACATTCTTACCACAACAGGAACAAGCACATGGTAGCACTGGTTTGATCTGGTGATTCTGAGCAGCATAAAGAGGGGCTGGTTCCCTTCTTTTAGCTTATATTTTATGTGTATTCATTTTATTTATTTTATAGGAGCACTTTTGGAGACCTCAGTGTCTGACCCACTGCAAAAGCAGTGAGAGGGTAAGTAGTCTGTCACATGGTGCTGACGGTATCACTGCATTCGTACAAACTACAAGCTAGTACTGTCCTGCATATGCCACTGGGCCATCCTGTTATCAAATTATTGCCAGAAAAAAATGGATAAATATCAATGCTTCTAAGCCAGAATAATTTGGGAGCAGATTACCCTCCTAAGTCTAATTAGTTTATGTCTAAGAATCCAATGCACGAGACCAATTCGTTTAGTTGCTCAGGTGTGAATTTTACAACTAATTCATGCAGGCACGTGCTCCTTGAAGCTGCTCTTCTGTGGTTCTCAAGACTTAGGACAATGGCCCACCTGCATCGAAGGTCCTGGGGTGCTTACACAGAATGCAGATGCTTGGCCTGCCCTGGACCCAACGCATCTGAATCTCTGAAGGTGGAAACCGGAGAATTTGCCTTTTAAACAAGATTTTTAAGAACCACAGAACTAGATGTTTTAGGGGAGTGTTTTCCATGGCGTCCATAACACAGGGTATAAGTTATATTTCAGACCATCATCTTGGGCATGCACTATGTTAAAGAACTTTGAGGATGTGACAGTTCCTTGATGTGCTGAGGCAGTCCTGGAAACCTTTTTTTTTTTTT